AGCTTTGGGGCAATGAACCCGCAGCCTTCTCTGACTGACCCCCAAGTAGGTGTTTCTCTCTTGGTTAATAAGAGGTGAATATGACAAAAGTATGTTTCAGTCCCGAGCCAGGGCCTCAGAAGGAATTACAAGAGGTGGGCCAGGCTACTTACACTTGTTTCGCATGATGACTGTGGGCAGAGACGACGTGTCCTGTGCCTGAAGGCTTCCTCTGGGCTGCTGGAAGAAAAAGGAAATGAACGCATGAAGACTACATTTACAGTTTACCTTCTGGCAAGTTCAAGAAGCCTACATAGGGCAGAAAGACAGCCAGGTGCTCCACTTTGCCGCTCTGCTCCCTGCCATCTTGTGTCCCAGCTTGTCACCCCCGCTGGCTTGGCCGGCGACCCTGCCAAGCACTCATTCCACAAAGGCTCTTTTCTGCCTGGAATGATCTCCCCTTCCTTCTTCTACTTCACGGCCACTTGAGCGTCACCTCCGTGGTAAATCCACTAGCTGCTGCTTCTCGTCACCTGAGGCCATGACTGGCTCCCCCGCAGAATCCTGTGCTAACCTCCACGTATGTGTGTCGTCAGCTGCTTGTCCATCTTCCCCACTATCAGGTGGGCCCCTTAACACCTGCACCTATGCCTTTTTCATTTCTATTTCTGCAGTGACCAGCACGCATAAGGTGCTAAATAGTTCTTAGGTAAAGGGCTATTTTTAATTAAGGCTTTTTGTTGTAGCACACAACAGAAGCACTGTGAGAAATTACCGATGGAAGCGGTGAGTTGGAGATAACTCATTAGTGAAAACAGGTCACTTGCAACTGAAAAGGGAACTCCCCCTTTTCAGGTTCTATTCTCTTCTACGGGAGATGGCTGTATCTCATTATCTTTCTATCGAAACTAGTACGTTCACAGAACCTAGTATATTCACAATACCGGGAAGTCTTATCCGAGATCACAAACTCAAACCCTATGGGGTCTGGCAGGTTACAAAGGACAGAAGCAACTTGTGGGGGTGGAGGAGGCCCAGAGAGTGACAATCTACAACTTGAACATCCCACCTAAAGGAAGCAGTGGGCACTCAGCCTCAATTAGTGATCACTGGCCATCCATCCCTCCAACATTTAAAAAGGTCGATAAGCCGGGTACCATTCTAGGGACCAACAGTGAAGCAAACATTCCTGACTTCAGATTGCTCACAGTTTGTAATTCCATTCTAGTGGGGGAAGGCACAGACCATAAAAAAATAGGTGTATCAAACGCATATAGACGTAAATATAGACTCTGGGGTGACACGTACTGCGGAAAAAAGGAAAAAGAGCAAGGCAAATTTTGGGAATGCTGGGTAATGCGAAATACCAGCGTTTTTCAGGAGAAACTAGAAATCCAAATTGATATAAGATTTTTAAATAATTGCATTAAGTAAAAAAAAAAACAACAACAACAACAAAAATTAAAACTTCATGATCTAAACAAAATTTATGTCTGGAGTACAGAAGTTTGTCATCTTTACATCAGTTCAGTGCTTCTCAAAGTGTCGCCCTCGGGCCAGCACCATCATCTGGGATCTTATTAGAAATTAGAATCTGAAACTCTGGGTGTGGAGCACAAGCCGTTGTCTTTTTAACAAGAGGTGATTCGGACGCTCACCCAAGTTTGGGGCCACTGCACTCGAGAAATGTGTCTGGTTATAACACATTGAGTGTCTGTACTGTAGCTAGAGGCTGCTCTTCTGACAAGGAACAGAAAGACATTTCTGGGTGACTACAACACACAAGCTACCTCAAAGGTGGTCCCCCAAACCCATACTATTTTTTAAGGGCCACCTGAGAAGCGGTGCACAGTACATAGCATGCATGCTCAGAGCAGATACCACCATACGACTGGCACTTCCTGGTCTTCTGTCATGTGATCAGAGCCATCTGTAAGTGCCCTGTGAGAAGAGTGCTGCCAGACAAGCTTTGTCTAACCCTACGCCCCAGCCCACTTCCACCTGTTGCACTCATGGTCCTGAATAACTAGCAGGAGGTCTGCAGACATGGTTAAGAAGAAAACCACTTCAACATTGACACAAAAATATTAAAATCCAAGAGACATGTATATTCAATATGGAAAAGTTCTGAAAACATATCCCGAGTGTGTTAATTAAGAAGTGAATTGATGGGCCGGCTGAGTGGCACATTGGTTAGGAGTTGGCCTGCTTGGGACACCAGAGGGCCCCGGTTCGGATCCCACATGAGGGCCAGTGACACTGCCCTCTACAGCTAAGATGCTGAACAACAGCTCGACCTGGAGCTGGGCTGCTGTGAGTCGCCGGCGACGGTGTAGGCTGCTGCACCTGTTGCAGTGGGCTGCGGTGAGCTACCGTGTGTGGCCGGCAGCCAGCGTAAGCTGACAAGAGCTGCCGTGAGCGGCCATCCAGAGGCCGGCGACCAATCTGCCTCACCCGGGAAGAGCAATGATCACAATACCAACATGGGCCAGTGAAGCAACGTCCTCCACAACTAGACTGAAGAACAAAAGGACAGCAACTTGTCTGTTCCCCTTCCCTGATTCCCCAGCGCTGTTCACCTCCCCCAATTCCCCAATAAAATCTTAAAAAAAAAAAAAAAAGAAAAGAAAAAAAGAAAATTGATCACTTCAGAGGAAAAGTATGTTTTGGTTTTTTGCTCTCAAAGTTGGCACCGAGTGATTACAATAAACAAAAGCCACAACCTGAACTCTCCCAACTCAGGACTTTATTGGTTTAGCAAGAAAAATCTTACCTTCATTTTGACCTTTGCACAGGAGGCCAGACTTTCTCTACAGCCTTTATGGACAAAAGCACTGCAATCTGAAAAGAAAGCAAAAAGAAAACAAAAACCAAGGTTACGTTAACAAAGTAATCAGATCCCAGATTCTGACATTCCGCTGCCACAGCAGCAGATGGCTCTCCAAATGAAGTTGCCCACAGGGCAAAAAGGGAGTAGCTGAGATCACAGACTGCAGTCCCCTTCTAGGAAGCAGGCATGTGATGTCACTTGGAGGAAGAGAAACAAAAGCAGATGTTTAATTTCTGATTAACAAAAACTAGAAGTCTGGAACTTCTCAGGCAGGAAGCTGAGAGGCTACCAAAACTAAAACCAGTAGTGTCTGCCGTCGATATGTGAGTCTAACTGACAAATACACACATTAATAAAGCCCCATGACAGGGGCTATGAAACGTGGATGACTGTGTCGAAGGTAGAGTGTGAAGCTGAAAAACCTACCCGTTTCTCCCTTTACCTCGGACCTGACCTACCCTGGGCTTTTTGCAACCCACCGAGTCAAGAGCCACAGAAGAAAGGGCATCAGAACAACCTGGGGCCCCGGTGGGAGCCCTGACTCAAGAGAAAGTGGGGGGCTTCCTGAAAGATGAAACAGAGACCACAATTCACAAGGGCATGATTTTGTCTCAAGGCGTATTTCCCGCCCGCTTCCCGACCAGGGCCACTAACGTACAGACCCAGCCTTCTGGGCCTCAGAGGGGCGTCATCAGCTCTCTCTGCTGCTGTGAAGTCACAGAACAGAGCTGTGCCAGGAAGCCAGAGGTGACGCAGAAACAAATAAAACGTCTGTCTGTGGGGATGTCCAATGACAACTGCCTCTCCAGGGAGGGGCTCCCTAAGAAAACCAACCAGATGCCGTTCATCAGGCAGCAAGGCCTGACGAGGACGCACCGCAGCTCCTGTCTGTGCCGACTCACTAGTTACAGGCCAAATGGCGGTTGATTCATACATACGGATGGGGGTGCGTGTGCGAATGGAGCAATGATGGGGAGGGGAGGATGTGGGAATGGACACTGCCCGAGTCCCGGACCCCAAAGGCCTTCCCCCACTGCTTTCTCAGCAGTTACTCCTGCGACGCCTACTTGGTCCCCAGGTGTCTTACCTAATGCCACCAGCCGCACTGTACTGTGGTTATCATATGGTTTTCTCCTCCAGGCAGATAGCCTTCATCCATTGCTGAATCGTCAATTAAGTCTCTAGCACCAGCGCCTGGCTCATGGCACCTATTCAATGTCTATTTTAGACCGATGTCTATTTTCTCCCAAAGCCAAGCGCCCTGACATAACCTTGATTACAGTATGCGAGCTTATTAACGTTAGAAGGGGTATAAGAAGAACAGCTATAACTGAATTTGACTTGGGTCCTGACTCTGCTAATTAGTTCATGTGACAATCAAGCCCCTTCTCTGCAGGCCCCTGTCTCCTCATCTATAAAATGAAAGGAGGGGCCACGTTTCCCCTCAAGTTCCTTCTGTCTGTGATTCTGGAAGGCTCTGTGCTACATCTCTTGAAGAAAGGGTTGTCTTACAGTCCAGTCAAAAAGTGCATTTCCTCTTTTGTTTTAACGAAAATCAATAACATTTTAGATATCTGTAGGCAACACAAGAGGTGGTGGGTTTGCTTGGGAATCTACCACTAACTCTGACTTATAAAAATTATCAACTAGCATACTGTGGACAGAGTTTGTAGCCAAGCTGCATTGTTTTTTTTCTTCCCAATGACTACCGTCACCCTGCAGATAAATAAGCAATGGCAGTTTCTGAGGAAGCGGTGCTATCGCTTTTAAACCGACTTCAGCAAATTGCAGTTCTCAAGCCAGTGTCTGAGATTTAAAAGACAACTCCAACGGATGAATCACAAGAGCAGAAACAGTATTTAAAATGTGCAGCTAGTAAACAACCTCTCACACAAATTCACTTTGCTAGTTAATGGAGACATGTCCCCTAACCTACCGCCCAGTTGAATTTTAATATGGTCTATAATACGGTCATGAGTCTCAGTGGTAAATAGTTCGCGTGGACGTCTGCTTAACAAACTCAAGTACCTACTTGAAAAACCACTCAACTTGTTACCAAGTGATCCTGGACTCGGTTCACAGTGATGGTTTTAGTGGTATGCGCGGGTGACTTACAATCTTTGGCCCCACTGACATCAGCCAAAGTCATGAGGTTAAAACCTTCTTCTCTGTTTTGGAAAACAGTCAATTACCAGAGCACAAGAACCGAAGACAAATCTAATACGTTTTCAAGCTCTCTGCCACAAACCATACCATGTTGTTAGGAGCGCAAAGAATTATGGGGTTGTCGGAAAAGTCATGATGTATTTTTTCTACGGTTTTCGTTGCAAAAATGCATCATGACTTTTCCGACAACCTAATATTTGGCCTTTTGTTTATTTTGAAAAAACGGCTTCCTAATGGCAATAAGCACATGTTCTCATTTTTCAAAGTTCTTCACAAATGTCTGGCAGAGTGGTTTATGGGAACACAGCTGACCTCTAATTAGACTCCTCTGAACTTAAATGCAAACAACCCAGACATCAACTTCTTTTGTCATTACAAGGAGGCATCAAACAAAAGACTATGAAGGAAACCCACATGACTGGGAACTACCACCTATCTTTTGCTGCATTTGTTTTTCCTTTGACTTCTGCCATCAACCAACTCAAATCTTTGGTGAACTGCTATATACTGTACATTCTTTCTCTTTCACCAGAAAAATAAAGCAACCCGTCAGCAAGACCAGCTTAAGGAAAGTCAGCTTTATCGATGAGTAAGAGGCGTGGCCAGGACACAGTGAGCTGAAATGAACATTTGAGGACTGTCCTCTAAAGGAAGTTCACCTCCCTGAGTTGAGTTCTATATGGTCAGAACTCTGAATAAGAGAACTTCCGATACTTCAGACCACCGGTCATCATTAGGGTACACGCTGAAAAGTTCTCACTGCTCTGCTCATTAGCGACAAATCTCAGCAGCAACATCGATCCGGGAAAATTCTTCTTGAAGACACAACAGGTTGAGGAGTTATCTTATTTAAGGATACAAAGGTGCAACGTCTTCCTAGCACCTCAACCCTAACCAAGCAAACTAAAAGAAAACAAACAACAAAAACCACATGCACAGGAGCCATTTAGAAATACATACTCCAACGTTCTTTCTGCAGCTTCTTGTTAAGCACCTTTGGGGAATGTGAGACATCGCCTGCAGAGATAGAGCTCAGGCATGAGGGCATGTAAGATATTCTTGGTAGCTGGTGCAATAACCACAGTGCAGATGTAAAGAGCAAGAGGAAAGCCACAAAAAAGAGCGAAATCATCTTAGCTGGAGTGCTCACTTAACAGTTTTCATAAGAACACTGATGAACAAAAATGGAACGGGCTGAAAGCGCTATGCTTGAGTAAGGACTGACTTTATTAGGCTCTTCATTCATCTTCCTTTCCCCAAAGAAACACGCTTCTTTTCTTTAATCCATTACAGGTATTTTACTATCTCATATAAACAATGAGCTCTGAATGTCACAAAACGTCTATCTAGAGAGCAGCCTTTCCGGGTAAAACCCAAAGCAAAATCCAACCGTCACACACATTCTGAACTCTTTGTTTCCTACTAACAGTGCAGCTGGTCTACTTGTTTATTATTTTTCATCAAGAGAAACAACCTACCACAAAAGTACTCAGAAGCTGCTAACACAACAGAAAATAAATCAACAATAATCTCAATATCATTTTACATCTGTCTAAAGCAAACAAAACAGAACCGCTGGCCAGATGCAAAAACCCCAGCTTAACAGATCGGTTCGTCTGAAGGCAGCGGCCAAGCATTGCAAAGACCACATGGTTTGTGGAGCTGGAAAGAACAGCTGATTACTCAAGGGGAGTGTTACATAACCGAGGAAAGAATTGGAAAGACACTCCTTTCCTTTCCCTGTTAAAGTGACCCGATCCTCCAAGAGTCAACAGAGTTTGGACTGAGAAAAAACAAAACCAAACCACACCCTGCCAGGTTTCTTCTAAATTCAATTACCTTGAATTTAGGAGTCCTGACAAGGCACTTGAGTCTTTGCTTTCACTCTTCTGTTTTGTTTCTCCCCCACCCCAGGAGCAGCTGCAAGGACCTGCGTGGATGGAGGCTTTGCTCCTGGCTGTGCCTACGGTCTGTGATCGTAACCACTGCACCTAAATCACCACAGGGGACTCAGCTCTCACCGGTGACTATGTTTCCTGTGGAGTCAAGAGATGTTGGTTTGCTTTCAAACACTCTATCCTGTTGAATCTCAGTATTTGCCTGCAGGAGGATATATTAAAGTGACGAGAAACATTGGAAGACAGGGGCAGATCAGTACTGGCCATCATGATACAGCATCGTGATGGACCATGTGGCTGGTCCCTCTAAACCACGAGTGAGAAGTGCCTGAGCATCTGATGGGGGGGGTGAGGCACAGGGGTCAACAACAGATTCACGTTCAACCAAAGGGGCAGCTAAGGGCACAAGGGTTTCCTGGGGGTAAATGACTAACTGGAGGGACGGATGCTGCATTTCCTGAGACTACTGGGAAGACCCTCTACGTGACAGGAGATGGAGGGGAGGGGAAAAAAAGACTAACTCCCCAAATTACTTACACTTTCTACGTCCTGCCAAGGCAAGAGATGATGCTTCATACCCACAAATCCTCATTGTAGGATCTGTTGGTCAGGAAGCTGGAGAGAATCAGCCACTTACTTTATTACTTTTGCTGCTTTGGGAAGGTGACTACACATTGTTCCTTTCCTTTCCAGCTTTTATTTTTTTTTCCCCCTCTTCTGCAAGTGGCAGGCTGCACACTGTCACACACTGTCATATACAAACCTAAATGCCACCACTGAGTGTTGAGCCTATTTCAACACTACCTGTGGAGCTGAGGGCAAAGCTATAGCTGAGGCGGGCCGCGTCTGTTTCTAAGGTGGGGTCCTATGCAAATTTAAAACGTATTTCTGAACCATAGGTGCATACTAGGAAACAGGCCCTATCCAACTTCCTCTTTGCTGTCTGA